CTTCCTCTCTCTCCCTTCTCCCCTCTCCTCCTCTTCCCCCCACCCCTTGCCAGGCAGGCGTGGCGCCACTGAGCTGCATCCCCAGCCCTGGGTAGCATTTCTCTAAGACTTATGCACAGGGCTTGCAAAAGCGGTCAGCCAAATTGAGAGGCTTGGTAACTAGCCTAAAAGAACAATCATATTTCTTTCTATTATTCTTTTGAAACATCTGATATAGATTACAGGTTAATCACTGTGGTCTCAAGGAAATGGAAGGGACCCTACAAGGGTCCGACTCTGTCATTCCCTATCTCTACCCAGAAAGTAAGATCCGGTAGGCACCACAGGAGAACGCTGCTGTGTTTCAGACTCCTCCAGAGTTTTGAAAGCTTCCATGTGTTGTCACAGTATAATCTAAACTGTCCCTAGATTGCCTTTTTTTCTCTTGAGAATGGTCAGACAAGCATGATGTGATGCAGAGTACAGGACTGCAAGTTAAGATACTTGTTCCCTAGTCATAGATCTGCTATGCATTTTATAACTTTGAGAATTACTTCACTTATCAGAACCTATTAAGACTAACGAATCTCCAATAACCTCCATAAGTATTAATGTTTTGTGATTCACAGTAAGACACGATATAGCCGGAGATCGACTTGGATCTCAGGTGCTCATTTGTGTGGGAGACCACAGGTTCCCAAAGATCTAGGGCCACAGCGAAAAGGGGTGCCATGGAAACCTGAGCGGAAACAAAAATCGCCCGCGGAACCAAAAGGCGGCGGGTAAAGCGTCCAAGGGAACAGAGAAAAGCATAGGACGAAGAGCGCACTATTTCGAGAAAGGGGGAAAGCCCATACTGAAGAGGAAACAGGGAAATTTGGACTATAGCTTTAGACGCTCCCTGGGATACTGAGGCCTGGCCTCATCGCACAGGCATTCCACGGGTCCTTAACTTTGCTCTTTGACCTCCTGCCCCACCCCCTCCACGGCAGCCACCGATCGCCCTTCCGGTGCTGTGAGGCGGTTCCGGTTCGCGGCAGTTCCCGGGTTTTGCGTTCCGCGCCCGGCCGGAAACACTTTTGCCTAGCAGCCGGTTCCGGTTCGGTGAGTGGCGGCGGGAAGCTGGGGGAGGGGTGAGGATGGAGGGATCCTGGGCCGGGAGGCAGCGTTGGACTGGGCCCACCGGCCTGGGCTGGGCTGTGCGGGAGCGTGGACCGCTGCGGGGACTGCGCTTTTCCCGCTGCCCCGCCCCCTGGGACCACCTCCCCTCCCCCCTGCTCTCCGGCGGCCGCGGTCAGCCCTGTGGCCGTTAGTTAGGCTTCCCGCGGTCCCTCTTCGGCCCTCTTTCTCCGGAGCCGCGGAGAGGGAGTCTCCCTGCGGTCTCAGCAGGCCGCATCCCAGCTTCCAGCTCTACTGGACGGGAAGAGGCCGGTTGGGATTCCGGGACTTTCCCGCCAGAGCAGGGTCTTCTCTCAAGGGAGAGCTGTTTTCGCCGGCAGCTCAGCTTTCTATCACACCTGCTTCACCTCCTGTCCTCCTTGAGATCTGAATGGTATTTCTCGGCTATTTCTGTTCTCACGCAAACAGTTTTCCAACTCTTAACTCTGGTATCTCCCTGAGATGTGATATCGCTAGTGCCACCACCAGAAAGAAACGTCTGGACCCTCCTGCCCAGGTTATGAGAATCCCCTTACCTGCCACAGTGTGCTTACCCGGCTCATCGCCTCCTGGTAATTTCCTTGAACCGTCTCGTCCTTCGTATACCCTAACGTGATCTCTATGGATGTATGCCCAGTTTCCCTTGTCTTGAGCTTGGTGATTTCTGTTTATCAGTTCCTCCGCAGTATTTCTACTATCTTGTCTATAACTTGCTTCTTTATCACTTTCAAGTCAGACTTGTTAAAGTTATTTCAGTTCACACGTTTGTTGCACTTACTGTATTTGGAGTGATGGTGATTCTTGAAAAATTTATATGGAGAGCCCTTTATAGGCTGCCAGCTGTTTGTCTTGGGGTCCTTGTTGCAATTGGATATCCTGGATAGAATAGATCACATCATCTCCTAAATCTTTATTCTTCATGAAGATAATTTGTGTTAAGGACTCGTGTTGAAAGTATAGATCACACTAACTTTGACATTACATTTGCAGCGAAGCCTTAAGCCTGATCCCTTAACCTTCTAATTTAGAGGACCCCCCCACCCCACCCCTAGTGCCTTTTAGGAAGCTTCATTCATTTTTACTTGACTTCAGTTAATTATCTTAACTGCAGATATGGTTTTCATATCACACATCTGATAAGTTAAATCTAGAGGGAGTGGATGGATACATAAACAGGTTCTACTACTTCTGGCTAAGGTGACATACCTACAGTTTTGAAAGTCCTTTTCTTTCACAGACTTCCACATCTCCTACCAGTTCTTCTAGCTTTACTATTTTACTGTATCTGTTTATGGGTCTAGCTTCCCCTATTAGACAGCTTCCCAGGAACAGTTCTTAGATCTTTGTATCCCCAATATCCTACACTTAATCAATGCTTAATAAATGTATGTATGTGAAAGGAGTTAAATATACTTAATGTTTAGACCTATAGAATGTTAAGATGCTTAAGGTGTTACAGTCTAACTGGGACAGATTACATGTAAAAATACTAAGGGGGGGAAAACCCAAGTACATGACATAGTACCAATTGTATCATCTACATAATTTTTTTCCAGAGCTCAGAGTAGAATGATTCATAGGATCACTTCTACAGCCTTCTCATATTTTAAATTGTTCTAACCACACCTTGGTCTTGGGTACAACTAATTACACAGTGCCTCTCCTCAGTAGATATTCATGTACTTTGGTAACTATATCATGGCCCAAAACATTTTCTTTTATAATCTTTGTTACCTGTGTCCTGAAACTAACATGATTTACCTAAATAATTGTAACTGCTTATGTTCTTCCAATAAATAAGTGAATGTATACTGGGAATTAATTATTAGAATGACTTTCTTAAGAGAAAAAATTGTTATCCTTGTAAGAATTTGATGGCAGTAAATAAGATCTGATGCAGCATTTCCAGCAGAATCTTCAGGTAAAATGTCTCTTCCAATGATTGTTAAGTGGGTAAAAGAAAATACTATAAGCACATGAGAGAAACTAGTTGCATTTTTATTAAAATGTAAATGTGGGATTTTAATTATTTAAAAGTATAAATCCATATGGATTCCACAGAACTAACTAGAGATTATTTTTTAATTGCTGTGTAAATCTTTGTATGAGGATATGTTAACTAATGTGCACTTGTGTTATGTTAGAAATGTGCATTTCCTGGGTAGTCAGGATACCTCAGTAGTCTTCCCTTTGATTTCAGCTAAGTCGTTTAACCTCTCTAGACAAAAATCTCTAAAATTCATAGAGCTTTTAGCTTTTTTCCCTCTTCTATTTCAGCAAAGTGCAAAGGAAATTACATGGGATTATCCTTTGAAGCAGCAGACTTTTTTCTTTTCTTTCTTTCTTTCTTTCTTATTTTAACTGGGGATTAAACCCAGAACAGTTTGCATGCTAGGCAAGTGCTCTGCTACTGGGCTGCATCTCACCCCTGTTTGTTTTTTTGAGACAAATTCTCACAAAAGTTGATCAGGCTAGCCTTGTATTTATGATCATCCTGCCTCAGCCTCCTAAGTAGCAGGAATTATGGGCTTATGTCACCACATATGTCTGGCATCAGACTTTTAAATTGGCATCTTCTTAATTTAAAAAAATAAAGGCTAGTTATGACAGTGACAGTTAGGAAGTGATCCGGAAGAGTGAGATGTTAAAAATGAAAAAGCACTGCTAATTTATTGGTTGATTTTTTTCCCTGTAATCTGGAATCCATGGAATTCTGCTCTGTTAAAGGAGATGGGTAAGAATAATGGAGAATTTCCAGACAGAAGCCTTGTGTTAACTTGAGCACTTAGCAATATGGTTGAAACCTAAATCTGAAGTCTAAACTCTTTGGAGATCCTTCCTGGATAATGTAGGTAAATCAGTGATCACTCTGCTTAGTATATAACCAAGCCAAGGAAAACTGAAGCAGCTTTCCTTTTTGTGTGCACTTTTGTTGTTGTGGCTGCAAAAAAGTGCTTATTATCTTTTTTTTTTTTTTTTTTTTTG